AATCGCGCCATTTTGGAACTTTCAAGCGCAGATGCGCAGATTTATGTATGCCAGTTGTCGTGTAATATTATGCTAGATAAAAAAACTACAGCGTGCAAAAAAAAAATAAAAAATAGGGAAAACTGTGTCAGATTGGCCGGTCCTTTAGCGAAAAGTAAATCCGGTTGCTGTACCTCTTTTACTATACAAAGTTACTGGTGTAGGCCTTTAGCGACCATGAGTGGAAGTCTGAAATAATAAATAAAACGTGCTCTCCTGCCGCAACACACGCAGTAGTTGAGGGTAGTACTGCCGGCTGACTCAACTGCTATTTAAGTAAGGGGAAAAATATATGCTAGTTGATCATTTAGCAAAATAGAACAACAGAGAGCTATAGGCTGATTTTGGAGTAGCCACAACTATTCTAAGAACACGAACCACTTCACAACGGCAGCCACAAGCGAGAGTTCGATGTTCGGTATAGTCCGCCAATACAGCCCAAAGATGGAGAATGGCAACCTCCCGTTTTGTCGTCTGCTAGCGGAGTCGGGCGCGTGGCCTCTCTCTCGTTTTACCCCGCCGATTGGCCGAACCCGCTGAACTTCCCGGATGTGTGGAGACGGCGCTGCGGTCCAACAAAATGGTGCCGCCCAGAGAGCGCTCAATGGAATGGTCTATATATACAGGGTGTTTTAGAAAACGCAGTCCAAATCGCTCCTGCGAAAGCTGAGCATCCAACAGAAAAAAAGGCTGATGCTGTGTTGGTGTCGGCCCAAGAGCCCATTTTTAAAAAAAATAACAACGTTTAGAAAAAATTGTTTTTTAGAAATTTTTTAGAAAGTAACTTTTCATTTGTTCATTTGAAGGCCATAGTTTCAATTAGAAACTTACTGGGCATCACCAATAACCCCTATATCAACCATTTTTAGACAAGTATAAAACAGGCCGAGCATTTTACCATGTTTCGAAAAACCCCTCAATTCTGACGCATACTCAGGTTTCGGATTCTTATCCAAGCGCATCTTGGCGGCAGCTGTTCTGCCCTCCGACGGCTGAAGCGCAGAACCAAGGTCAGCCCAAAAGTCAGAGCTCAATCCTGCAATGTCATGCCCTGTCGAACTGCCAGGCGTTCCTTATCGCCTGGCCACGAGCGCGCGCTACACTTATTTGTTTTTTTTTTACGAGAGAGGGAAGGGAGGCGGGCGGGTTGTGCGCCGCCCATGTTATGAACCGAAGGGCCAATCAAACGCCGTAAAAAGTGCAATGTCATAGCGTGCTCTCTGCGCTTGACTAGCCGGTGGAGGAGCACGCACAGAGAGACGGCGAATACCGGCTGGTCCTATCAACTGCAGAAAGCACGCCATGACGTTCTGCCCCTTTCGTGGTTTGATTGGCCCTTCGGCTCATAACATCGGCCGCACTGGCTTCGGTTCTGCGCTTCGGACGTCGGAGGGCAGGACAGCTGCCACCAAAATGCGTTTGGATAAGAATTCAAAACCAGAGTACGCGTCAGAATTCAAGTGTTTTTCAAAACATAGAAAATGCTCGGCATGCTTTATACTTGTCTTAAAGGGGTTGATATAGGGGTCATTCATGATCCCCAGTAAGTTTCTAATTGAAACTATGGCCTTCGAATGAACAGATAAAAAGTTAGTCCCTTAAAAACAAATAAAAACTATTTTTCCCGAACGTTATCATTTTTTTTAAATATATAGGCTCTTGGGCAGACACTAACACAGCATTAACCTTTTTTTTGTGCGATGTTTAGTTTTCGCAGGAGCGATTTGGCCTGCGTTCTCTGAAACATCCTGCATATATATATATATATATATCAGGGTGTCGAACCGGAACCGAACCGAACCGAAAACCGGAACCGAATCGGTATTTTTTCCGGAACTGAAACCAAACCCGAACCGTTACCCTTAATGTTCGCGAGCCCTCAAATTTCGCGAATTTCACGAATTTCGCGAATTTCGCGGATTGAAGAATTCGCGAAATTTAAGGGCACGCGAAAATTTCGGTCCTTAATATTTTCAATGCAGGCGTCTGGAATTCGCGAAATTTAGTCGTCGCGATTATGTCATCTGTGACCGATTCGCGAAAAATAGGGGCCGCGAAAATAAAGGATTTTACAGTATATTGTTATCGCGATGAACCCGAACCGGAACTGAACCGGAAAAAAATAACGGTTACCGGCTCATTTCAAAACGGTTCGGCCACGCGCTGTTGACAATGAATGTGCTATCAATGCCATTTGTTTATTAAGTGCCGTCAACTGACACACACCTCGCTTACATATTTTTCTTCTCCACTCAGTCTTAGGAATATAAACGCTGCATCCATGAATCTTGACAAACGCTGCATCCATGAATTTTGACATAGGAACCAGTATTGCGCTGGTCGCGGCTTGCACAGAAAAAAAAAAACTGGAAGGCTGTGCAAAAAAAAAAAAAAAAAATCGCGTCACGGGATTTCATTCTCGTAAATCCTAAATGCTGCTGTGTGCTCATTTCGTAACACGTTTCTAGAACAACCGAGTTCTTGAAGTTTGCTTCCATCGGAATGAGAAAAGAAAAGGCTGTGGAGTTTGATAATAATGCATCCGGTTTTGTATAGGCACTTAGAAGCTAACAGATTTGTGAGGCAGCGAACTCTTCTATTTTAATATTTATCCTATTACGTCCTTCTGGCGTTGCGTTCGGTGAAGTGTTTTTCATATTCCGTATCTTGTTTAATGAAAACTTCTTTAAGGGTCTAATTTGAGTTACCGAAGGCTAGTTCAAATAAAGAAAGCTGTATTTTCTCCCCACTGTTCCTTCAATAGCTTACACGCCGAGGTGGCGGGATAGTTAGCAAGTTCTACTTGTAAGTGGGTTTGTAAGGAGGACGCGGATTTTACAGCTACTGCGTCGGACCCAATTAGATGACGTCCGAATGCGTAAAGTGTGTGAGGTAACCTTTGAGTGCACATCAAGAAACCATTCCTGGTAGAAATCCCTGAGCCCTACACTACGATGTATCCCGTTTCGTATGTGCTGATTTCAGATGTTTTATTTGTAATTTATTTTGATGTTGCAATTTGTCATTTATAATTTCCGAACCGGTTCGCGAATCGGTTCAGCGCCCCGAACCGGTTCGCACACCGGTTCGCGGATTGAATTAATCGAACCGGAACTGAACCGGAACAAAATAAATTTACCTGAACCTGAACCGTAACCGAACCCGTATCTTTTTCGGTTCGACACACTGATATATATATATATATATATATATTCAAAGATTTCATCGACATGGTACTTCAACGGAGGTATCAAGGTAATAATCTGAGAGCTCCTGTTGCCGAAGCACACCTGGAAAAATATTGATCGCTGCTGATTTGCTTCAAAATTGTTTAAATACATAAATCGGCAAATTTGAGCTAGTAAGCCAAGCTACAAGTCACAATATTTTTTTTTTAATTGAAGTTAATTGAAAATTTTTTTTGGTCTGTGGGGGATGAGAGGCTCTACTGGCAACACTCAAAATGCGGCGGCGATATTTGGTTCTTAATTTCAAGGCTAAGTGGCGCAAGCTACTGTCCGTTAAAAAGGGTACAGGCATTAACATTCATTCATCCATCCATCCATCCATCCATCCATAATCCACACTGTCTGGTGATTGTTAGAAAAATGCGCAGGAGAGCAGATTGGCTTAGAAGGGTGAGGGTACCAACCATCCTTTTTGTTTTTAGGCTAGGTGGCTCAAGCTAGCGTCCATTATAAAGGGTAAAACCAGTAGCATCCATCCATCCATCCATATTGTAACATGGGGACAGTACAGTTTGTTCTTGACGAATATAACGCTGATCTCATTCCATTGACGATTTGCTGGATCGCTGATCGCCCCTCCGCAAATGCGGTCACGGGTCGGCCATCTGACATCATCAGCTCTAGTGATGTCAAGCCTAGACAGTTACTATGGTTACCATCTGTAGGTCACGTGACAATAGACGCATGGGTCACTTGACCACAACCTTGACAGCGCTTCAGCGGGTGACGTAAGATGGCCGACCGGTGAACGCAATCGCGCAGGGGCCTCGAAGCGAGGATACGCGATCCAGCAAATCGTAGTAGAGAACATTGAGTTACAAGAAATTTGAGGTTGTAAAAAAAGAAAAAAAAAAGAATTAGAAATGCTTACGTTACCAAATAAAATATAAAAAAAAGAGTGCGCAATATATTTTGTTTGCTTAGACTGCCTGCTTTACATGCAAGTTATAGAAACGTCGAGTTTTAAAGCATGTGACGTCACCAAACTGGAGAGCGCGGAAAAATTTGAATGTTGTTTTTGGCATAAAAACGCGCAGGCGACAAACGGGTTGCGGTGCTTAACCCGTTTGTCGCCTGCGCGTGTTGGGTGGTTTACCTTATTCCGTTGTCCTGTGGAAAAGTGTACATTGGGCAGACGGGGAGATGTGTTAACGACCGGGCGAGAGAACATTCTCTGTCCTTACGCTCCTCCCCGTCTGGCAACCTGGCGGTCCACTGTGACAGATGTGCGTGCTCTCCAATGTTTACTGAAATTAAGATTTTAGCCCGACATAAAACTAAGTACGCTCGGGAGATTGACGAAGCTTTTTTTATTGCCAACCATGACGCAGACATGTGCATTAGTGTTCCATCACTTGCCCTGGTTAGTGATGAAATGAATTTTATCAGAAAGGGCAGGTAAATACGTGTAGCCACGTATCGGCTTGAGTGGAGGATGACGTGTTATCGGGCCGATTGCTTTTATGTTTGTCTCCTTTCAAGTTTACTTGCTGAATGGCGCAGCAGTAAATATTTCAGTCGTAAGTCAGCGCTGTGTCTGTGTGTTTCCTTTTACTGGTCCTTCGTCTTTTTGCGCTGTTTTAACCCATTCAATGTAATACATCGTTATTATTTCGGATTTATTTTTTTCCCTTTACTATAGTAAAAGTTCTAATTAAGTGTTGGCACTCTCTCCTGTCCCGATCTTTTCCCTATATTTGTGTTTGCGTTGTTTCACTCCAGCATGATCTGTAAATACCAAAAAGTCAATTTATCAACATTATTTCATACATTGTAACCTTTACTTCGTCACAAACGTTCCTTGAGCATAAGTTCAAGCTCATTTAGACAAGGCACACACATGAAGCATTTCTGAATGTTTATAGAGATTGCCTCAGCTCCGGGAAAGGTGGCATCAAATCTAATAAACAGTACGTAACATAAAACGCCCACTAAATAGCCAACAACAACGACCACGTACTGCATGTACCCGGACGGGCTGGTCAGAGGTATGACGACCAGTAAAATAAGTATCACCAAGTAAAAAACCGGAAGCGCTGTTGGGACCCTGAAAGGCCTCGGCGCGTCTTTCATAGAATACCGAAGCACCAAGAAACAAATCATCGTTAGAGTCTCGTTCAAGGCAACCACGAAGGAGAGGCCGTTGATGATGAAGCTTACGGAACCCGCAAAGGTATACACAAGCGACAGAAAACCACGAAGTAGGACTGACGTTAGAGGCACCGAGGACTTCACGGTTACCAAGGAAAACACGGATGGCATCTGGCCTTGTCTTGCTGCCGCCAGGATCAGCCTGGAGCTGCTGAAGAAACCGCCGCAGAGGTTTCCGAAGGCGCTGATGGCCACGATCACAGGGAAGCAGGAGGCTGCGGCAGTTCCCCAGGTGACTGCAGCGAAGGACACGGCGATGGCTTCTGACTTGGCCACTGTGCCGGCGTCCAGCACCACGAAGTAGGCGAGGTTGCTGAGGATGTTTATCAAGCTGACGATGAGGATCCCAGACGTCAACGCCAGTGGGATGGTTCGGGTGGGATTTGAAATTTCCTCCGCTATGTAGGTTACGTGTTGCCTGTAAGGGAGAAAGAGGGACTTTCTTGATATACATTTGATTGCATCTGTAGTCAGTTAAGAATAGTAGTGTGATCTTGTACTCGCGACACCGGTGCCTCGTGGCGGCAGATAGAGTGTTCTCGGATCCCTATAGAGTACATACAGTGTTTTGTTCATTATTTGGCTTGGACGATTGAATATAAAAAGAAAGCCGCGAAAGCGGCCCGCACAGGTGAGTTTCACGGTTAGCGGGACATAATGAAGGGGGATAATTGCCACGAAAAATAACACCATAATTAAGATTTGTTTATGAACTTTTTAATTCGAAATAATAAATGCATGCTTACTTTTATAAACTTGCAGAGGGCCATCAAAACACCCTATATTAGTAATTTCAGTAATGCTCGAAGCGCGTACAAAGTGCTGTGATGCGCTAGAGTTACTAATTGTGCAACGCGAGGAAGCGTCGGCGCGGTTTTGATGCGAAAGCACGAAATGGCGCATGAAGCGAGGCGGTGTTTATCTGATGTCTGTAGCAGCGAAAAACGGCACCTAAATACCGAGTGGCTGCGCGAAACGGCACATGCATTCCCACGGGCTGCAAAACGGACACGCCTCCGAAATAAAGCACAAATAAAAGCACAGCAACGCAATTGCTTCGTCACGGAAGCTGTCGTGAAGCCGGCGAGGTCCGCCGCGCCTGCGCAGTGGGGGAGCGTGACGTCACCACCGGAGCGCCGTGTTCAAAAGGAAGACGTGGCGCGCTGTTTGTAGGAATGCGTTGTTGCGCGTAGGAATGCTTTCACATTCCTACAGATAAGCAGTCTTAAGTGTTAACCAATTAGAGTTAGTTGTTTGGCTTCTCCTGATGATTAGTCCTATATATTACGTCTTCTTGGCCGTATAACTCATCAGCACAGGCCCTATAGTAGTGCATCTTTCACGGCTTTTCAAAAGAAATCTGTAAACAAAAAACCTTCTATAACTAAACATATCCCCCCCCCCAAAAAAAAAAGGAAGAAAAACTAACACGTACGTTAAGTTTTACGTAACAAATTTTTTTAAAAATTTAATTAGTCTTTTTTTTTTTTGTGTGTGTGTGCCCTATTAATCACGTGTTTATGTAGGTTCCGCGGCGAATGACAGAAAAAGGCGCATCAATCGCCCCCTTCAAACTATTGAACAATTTTCGGCCGCTTTAACAATAGTGACCAATAAAATATTTAATACCATCCGCTGTAGCACGTGAGGGCTCCATAGAATGCTTCCACAATGTTCGCCGGATTTGTGTTGAGGGTGAAAAACGGAGAGTCGAGAAGCTTATTCTCTGAAATGTCAAGAACAGAGATGACGTTTTATAGGCTATAATTTCCGGGATACTGCGAAGCATATCGTCCATTGTAGCTTGAATGATGATATCGCAAAATTCTGTTGGCTTTAAAGTCCGAACGTTAAAAGCATCAAACAGTGTCTCGCGTGATAGGTTAAGGGAATCAAATACATTTATCCTGTTGTCGGGAGAAATAAATGAGCCGTAATAGAGTACAGGGTAAATGCACGCAAGGATATTCGTTGGTGATGGCAGGCGGTTGGAAGCAATGTGATACTGGCGAATTCCGCCATAAGGTGCCCGTTCATGTTAGAGGTAAACCGCCACATGGTCGCCCGATTTAGTAGGTATAATAAGCTTCTCACGTTTCCATACCCGCAATAACTGTACACTACACAAACTCAAACAGCTATGTTATAGTTTCGGCTGGTACGCGTCTTAGTCTAAAAATCATTTTCTGCGAGGTCTATTAGACATTATTTATTTTGTACGCGCACGAGATGTGCTTTGGAAATTTGTTTGGATTATCTGGCTTTACAGGTTTATTCTACTACGTAGATATACTGCCATGTCACATGCAACAGTTCAGTTAACCTTTAACATGAAACGTTTTTTGGCTAGGCGTTCGGATTTCGTGAAGCCCGGATAAAAGCGTGGCCGCGAGGCTCGACACTGATTGGTTGACGGGTGGGTAAGGAGAAGTGAGGTGCTCGACGCTGATTGGTAAACGAGGAGGTTATCGAAACAGAAGGGCAGGCGAGGAGGAGTGAGGTAGGTAAGGAGGAGCGCGACCACCTGTGCGCACTGAGGGAGAGGAGCTCGCGACTAGGGAAGGTTCTGGAAGATCACCCGGTTTATCAACCCGATTAGCGGAAGTATCGCTTCATTCTAGGAACACCTATCGAGTGTACTTACAAATGGTACGCGTTAAACTCTCTGATGAAGAGCGCCGTGAACATTGACGTCTGGCGTCTGGAAACTCGGAGTGCGATAGACGTTTAAGACGCCAGAATGTTTCCCGTATGCTACACAATTGCCTAGCAATTTGCCTTCCTTTTTTATCTTTCACAATACTTCTGGATAGGCATTGAGACATGGCAGCGAGATATTTGCTTAGATTCATTTCTGTTAACGTTTTGGACTTGATAACCTACATGCTTTATTGATGTCATGCTCACTTTTTTAATCTCAAATTATTATGAATATGGATACATGAGGGTGGCATAAACACCCATGACAAAAGTAAAAGTATTGTTGTGCGTTAAAAGCCAATGTCGTTTCTATTTGTTTCTGTCCCTATTTTGTTTTCGTAACTTAGACACCAACACGCTCATTCATCCGCAAGATATACACTTATCAGCATGCTTGGTAGAAATGCAGGGTCAAAAGCGACCCATAAGATAAAACAAGAAAAATGATATAGTTACCCTTAAACAACCAGACGCTCCCAGTTATGATGATCGAGACCAGAACGAGACACTTGAGTGCGGACAGTACGTTTTGGACCCATGCTGATGTCTTCACGGAAAAACAATTTAGTGCGGTTCCCAAAGCTAGAGAAAGATAACAATGTTATTTTAATCAATGACAATGCAGGAGCTCTGAATAAATTATCTTGTATATCGGTACGAGCTCGAAACTGATTGAATGAGTACGCAGCATGGTTGAAAGGTAATTATATATATATATATATATTTTTTTTTAATTATACCTTTATAGATCTGCGACTAAGTAGAACTTATTTTATGAATATGTAGTCACGAAGTCATTGTGGACACGTATCTTGGTCCCGGAGTTTCATCGAGGGCGAAACAGTATACATAGAACGGTCCAGATAGCTGCGTCAATTTTGACTGCAGCTTCAAAGTGTATTAATATTACATGCGTTTTAGCTACGTTTAAAGCGTACAATGCCTTTAAGAACAACGGTTAAGCTGCAGACCCGACTAGCGCGACATGTTCTATGCAGCTTTTTTTTTTACAAATACGTGTCTGCATTCTGCGGTCCTGAGGACCCCTCTATTCTTGTAACTTTACTTGGAGTTCCTGTACTTTTCGTCCCGCGGGAAAGATGCAATAATTAAAAGCGTTTGTTGGTTTGCTAATATATTGAAAGCTGGTACCGTCTCGCGAATGCGTACTTATTGCAGCGTTGGGATGGCATCCCAATAGGAAACAAATTAAGGAACTCATTCGTATCATGGAAACTTGATCATACGCAAAACGCCGTATCTAAAATGGCAGACGAGCTTCAGAAGGCTATAGAAGACGGCCATTTTTTGCGATGGCAACACAGCTGCCACCTCATGGTTGTATTTGCATATATATAAAACTCTTCTATAACTTCTTTTCTAAGTAAAAAGCCACAATACGATTAAACAACTTTAGAATAAAGTTAAAGTGCTTCAAAAGCAAGCGAACAGATTTTTAACGCCTCCTAACGAAGCTAAGCAATTTGAGCAGAAATACTATGTTCGCCTTCATAAGGACTACGGTAAGAACACCTTACGCGATATTTTGCATTTTTTAAGACCCTTAAGGTAACAATAAGACAAGTGGCAAGAAAACTCATCCACCTATATTGCAATCAAGAATGGCATAACTGGGTCGTATTCTGTAAAATCGTGCATTACTTATTTCAAGTTTAATCACGCGTTTCTTTAAAGCCGGATGGAAAATCAAATTGTACTTCTTGCGATTCTTCGTGGGATCATAAGCTTTAGAAAATATTTTTTTTTTGCAATGAAAGCCGAATGAGTAACGGTTTTGTGAAAAAAATAAAATAAACGGAACTGTTTCCAGCTGACTAACCAAGAATAACGAGTGGGATTTAAAGCTTACAGAACCCTTACCCTAAATTTGAACTATGCAATAAAAACCTAATCTGAGATAAAACAGGCTTTTTATTGATCCAGTTCTGCAAAAACGGTATGCACTAACAAAGTGTACACCGTGTTTCCCTGTGATGCGCGTGTATATGTGTCTACTCGGGGGTTTTAAAATTGGGGGTGTTATCTTTTTTGTTATGATAACGTAGGAACTAGTTTTTTTCAGCAAGAATACCTATGACCCTCTGATTACTGGGCGAAAACAAAGATTGCTTAATTACAACACACACACGAAAAAAAGAAAGCTGGTCTTTCTACACTGAAAAATGCTGGGGAATAGGCCATATGTAAAATTCCTGCCAGCTAACATCATGATATAAGGACAATGTGTATATGTACACTCAATGGGTTGCCGTTCAGTTTCTGTGCGATGAAAAAAAAAATGAAAAAGACGGGTGAAAGGTTGCAGAGAAGAAATTGGCAGTAACCAGGGCCGGCTTGCTAGAAATAGCGTTGTCAGCTGAGCCCGGGTGAAAGAAAGCACTGCCAAAGCCAGCGCACGAGCTGAACTGGACTCAAACCACATCTCAAGACGCTCGCACGCCTCAGCCTTTGCAGCGCTTCCTTTCACCCAGTCTCAGCTGAGACGCTGGTCTAGCAAGCCGGCCCAGATCGCAAGACTCACAAAGTAAGTGAACGGACTTTATTTATGAAGCTGCATGAAGGGTTCGGACTGACCTGCCACCACGTTTTTATATCTTAGGTCCACGACTCAATTTTTTCCAGGCGGAACTATCAATAACCCCCCCCCCCCAACACACACACACACACACGCATACAGTCCCCCTCTTTGAAACTGGGTAGCTGATCATAAGTACTCTAAATGGAGGTTCTTTTTGCAAAGTGGTCTCTAGGTCTACGCGATTCGCCATTCTGAAAAACCAAGCCCGTGCGGCCAGCGAACTACCGATTCTCACTTTACTTTACCGCGCAACTTAAAGTTCGCAGGAATCACGCACGGCTGCTTACCCGTAAACGTGAGTGCCACGAGTACCTTCACCGCGTACGGTTGGCTGCAATCTCCATACAGTGGGCTGAGGGCGTAACTCGCAAATGTAATTCCCTGGAAGGCCGCGTTCATGGGGTCAGCCATCATCAGCATGCTCCAGCCGTGCATGAAGGGAACGATGTCTCCGTATCTTCCCATGGCCTTGCTTCCGGCCGTGACGTAGGCGTAGCTGCCTCCAGCCGCTGGTAACAGGGCTGCCATCTCCGTGTAACACAATCCTCCTGCGCATCGATACACCAACGTGCCGCTCTAACGTAACACCGCATGCGGTGGCGTTGCTGTCGGCGTGGCGCGCGCGTGCAGACGCTTCACTTCACGCGGATCTCGTTTGTGCGCACGCGCAGTGCCTACACCCGGTGTGGGTAGACGCAGACTTGGTGGTTAAACAGGTACTCCGGCGTTTATTCATGGTCGTCAATTCGCCTCGAAATTGACCAAACACGCCAACCAATATCGCTTATATAGTAATCCAAATATTAGGGCAAACTATTTTTTTTTCTCACAAGATTATCAAATTTGCAATTTTGGTTCTCACCGTTTCTTTCAAACTAAAAGTTTCTACTGGCAGCAGCTAAAATGTGACGCTAGTGGTAGGTGGGAGTTTACTCTGCACTGTAGAATTTTTTCTCAGCGTACTTACTACCAGCAGTTCCATGGGGCCAAATGAATGCTTTTTAAGCTCGATGAAATGCAGAATGAAACATGAGCAGAATGAAACATACTCGGCATACTCTGTTCTTTAGACGGTCTGCTCGACCTGAATCTCGCCTGCCAGTGACGTCACGGCACTGAAAACGCGCATAGATTCGATTGTCGGTTTAGGCATCACCTTCGTTTAGCGATGTCGCAATGACTGTTCCGAATATCGCGATGCTGTATAGCATACCGAAAAAGGTAAAGAGCGGAGATTCGGGAGATATAGCCAGTAAAAGGAACTAAAAAGTCGCCGGAGTAACAACTTGTTTGTCTCTATTTATCCTGGATAATCTTTTAGTGTTGGTGTAAATTTTATATCGTGCGTAGCGTTCTAACCTTATTTCAAAATCCTACAAGTTTCGGGTTTATAATAATTTGGGAGCAGTATAAACTGGCCTTTCTGTCTTACTTCGAATCATATTCAGTTTACCATTGCCAAGGACTGATGTGTCGGGCTTAACTAGGTTAACTACTATTAATATTTGAGTCGTGGTCTACAAAGAAAGTCTATAAAGAAAGTCTCTTAGATTCATTTATGATTCATATGGCCAAGAATCACGTGTTTCAGCGTTGTACACAGCGCCTGGACTGCCTGAGTCGTCATGTCGAAGGAAAGTAAATCGCCTAAAAGTTTTGCATCACATTACACACAACAAAACTTGTTTAAAGTTTGTCGCCTCTCTTAAGTTTAATTTGAGCCGCGATACCAGACAGAAGCACGAGAAACTAATTCCTGAGTTTCGCTGCAGGAAAGATGTTTTAAAATATTTTTTTTTTTCGCGTACTGTTTGTGAGTGGAACCCGTTGCCCCGCAGCGTGATGGACACTGTCTCCTTCGCTTCATTCTCTGGTGCCATTGACGAACTTTTCTTTGTTTGAATAAACTGTACGGAAAAGGTTTCGTACGCATTTTACTCTATGTTTATAACTACTTATTTGTTTTGCTGACATTTTTTCTTTCCTCCCCTCATGTCTTTGCCCTCAAAAGTTGGCCGGCAGTATCTTTAAAATAAATAATTTAAGTTACCCACCTTCATATTTATAAATGATACTTGAGGCGTCGTTTTCGCAACTATGTCTCTTACAACATATTAATAGCGATTCACTCACTCCTACCGCAGCTCGGGCGGAGGTATGGGTCAGTGGTTATCATGAAAATTGATGTTTAGAATCTTATGACACCTCTAAGATATGCAGGTGAATGATTTGCACGGAACCTTTTCTGATCGATCTTTTTAGCTCTCCCAGAACCATTCCGATTAATAAAAAAGGATAAACACTTTTTTAAGTACGCTTTTGTAAGTAACAAATGAAGGGGGCCCATAGGACACTGCCCTCAGGGCTGTGTCCTGGGCCCATACTCGTTTCTTGATCTTCGTTAACGACCTTCCGAATTATATATCCTCTAACATACGTCTGTTCGCCGACAATGGTGTAGTATATTGGCGAAAAAAAAAAGGTGCAGTAACGATCGTCTTTTCCTCGAGAATCACCTAGAAAAAAATAATGTCACAAAACCACCCAAAGTTTAGGTTGATTCGTGTTTCTCAAAAGTTTTCCTCTCGCTGTCATTTAATATTCTCTCGGCACAAAAAGCATCGAGTGTGTTCCATCCAATAAATTCCTTGGTGTACATTTTTCTCCTCAGATATCTTTGACTAACCACATTGACTCTTTGTCTACAAAAACTTCTAGTACTGCTGAATATATTTCGGGCTTTTAAGTCTCCCACCGGTGGCTGGAAGGCTCTCTTGTGGTCACCTCGGCGGAGGTGGGGGGAAGGTGGGGGGGGGGGGGGGGGGGAGGGGGGGGGGAGGGGTGGGTTGAGATACCCCCGAGCGAAACCCCCATGACTTTAAGCGCTGGCTATATCCGACGCTGCCTCTACTCACCCCCCCCCCCCCCCCCCGCCCACCCCCCCTCCCCAACTTTCCGAGAGCTGGGGCCCTAAACTCGTCAAACACAAAGTTGGGGCCGAAGTTGGCGGAGCGCACGGATTGGCTTATCACGATGATGACTTCGCGTTTTTGTCGCCGACGTCCAATTGGCGCGCTCCGCGAACTTTCGGCTCCAATTTTGTGTTTGACGAGTTTAGGGCTCCTGGCCTACGAAACCTTCGTTCGTCCGAAGATAGAGTATGCAGCTACCATTTGGTTTCCTCATCAAATACACTTATCTAACACTTTATAAGCGATTCAAAATAGAGCTGCCCGACTCATGTTATCTTACTATGAGCGTACTGCTAGAGTATCGGCCATGTAAACTTCTTTCTGCCTTTTCACTTTTAATACTCGCCGCAGAATATCGCGCCTTTGTCTCTTCCATAAAATCTTTTAGCACACCCCTCAGCTCAGACAGACTCTGCTGCTAGAGCGTCATCTTTCATCCCAACGACATTTCAACTCCCTTAGTATACGTCGCATCCCCGGTTCCACTTTCACTTTTAGCAGACTCTTTCCTCGCCCTTTTCATAACAAATTGGAATAATGTGCCGGGCAGGGTGTAAGATAGACAGGTGGGGAAACGGCCCATAGAAGCGTACCGCAATGCCGTGACCGGGTTGTGTACTCGTCTGCTTGCGGGTACCCCCGATTTGCGATAGATGTCGCTGCGACGAGAACAAAAAAATGGGAATCGGACTTGCATGAAACTCTACGGGAGTGTGCGCAAAATAAACCGAGAGCACAACAGTCCTCCATTGAAAATCCACGAGAAACCACTCTACGTTAGTTTAGCCGGTTGCCACCGGTCCCCCACCCGGAGTGAGAGTTCGCGGTGCTCCACATAGATGGCGCCACAGGAAAAGAAAACCGAGGGGGATACAATCCAGTCTCTCATTTAGCTCTCGTTTCCCCACCTGTCTATTGTACACCCCGCTGCCTGGCCACAAGTACATATCCGTGACTCTGATCTTTATAGAAATGCAGTGTTATCTATCATAAATGCGTAATCAATACCATGTTCCCTTGTGTGGCCGCTGCGTGGCCACAGCTCAACTTTCTTTTTGTGTTTATAATAGTCTTATATCTGTGTGTTTTTGTAGCCCCCCCCCACCCCCCCCCCCCTTTTCTGTAAAGCCCCTGATGGGGCCCTTAAGTGTAAGAAGAATGAATATGTGAAAAAAAGAAGGTTATTCATTTTAATTTATGTTGCGCAATAAATCACAATTATTATCTTCATTATAGAAAATGCGAGCGAATTGAGAGCAACACTTAATGGATGACAAATTTCAATGAGGAATTCAAATAAAATTTTTTTCAGTAATACTTGCTTATGACTCGACAATTTTTTTTTTAATGTTCGTTTTAGAAAAGAATTATTTTATCTCACCAAGAATGGAAATCACTCCGGCCAAAAGCCATATTAAAAGCGCTACTCCAGCGGATCCCGAGTTCTTGAAAACGATTCCTGGTGTTGTAAATATTCCAGACCCTGAAAAAACGCAGGGGAAACCTGAGCTCAAATGGGTCAAGGCACTTCCTGTTTCACAAACAAAGATTTTCAACGGGACATTGGCAGTAACGGAACAGCATATCGGTGTAAGTCGTATGAGGAACAGTCTGTATAAAGACATCTCGATGGTTATGCGGGCTACTAGTAAGTATAAATCATTAACTGTAATAAACACCACTACGTTCATGATGCTTTCTTATTCTTGATTTCTTTCTCGTTAATTAATTGGGAGAGCAACACATTTTTTTTAAACAATAACACAGTGCAGTTTATACCCAGCATATGCACATAGGGTACACTTCAGTTATTTCTTAATAGACGTGGTTACAGAAAGGACTGAAGGATAGCGTATTTACTCTGATTAAAAAAGAAATTAGAAATGTGAACACGCATAAGACGGTTGCATGAGAAATATTACACAATAAACAAGAGAGGTGAATATGCAAAGTCGAATCTGTAGGGTGACCGAAATAACCAGGCTCTATCTAAAATGGTTCGTAAAAATCGGCGCCTGGACGTAGCATTCTAAACTTTTCGTCAAAGGCGTATTTCATAGGTCGTTTTTTTTTTTGTTTTTTTTTTCATGTAAGATTAAAAAGCGTGGCCCCATTTCCGCGAAAAATGGGGTAAAAAAAACTGGCCAGGGTCAACGGAGGACGGTGACGCAGACGACCGACTTGAGTGGAGGGGCGCGTTTGGCGCACGTATCGATAGATGGCGCCGGGAGCAGCGTCTGAAATGGGGAAGAGAAATTTCTCCTCGCTCATGCCCTTCCCCTCTCAAAAGTTATCTTTCCTCTCGCTTCAATTGGATACGGCGCGACACGTGACCGTTACTCTCCATGATCCCGCGCGATTCCGTGGTCTGTTATAAACCGACGCCATTTTTGTGCGAGACGTGGCAATGGCTCCGCTGCTAAGCGTAAATTTTTTTTTTTCTCACGATTTAGGCGCCAACGCGATGCTATCATGCTGCGCTGTGGATTGCACAAACTGCGTTGCGAAAAGCAAGAAGCTTTTGGCGTCCCGACGGGTAAAGGAAATAATCTTCAG